CCAGCTCCACCTCCTCCGCCGCCGCCTCCTCCACCGCCGCCACCTCCGCCACCTCCGCTCCCACCGCCACCGCCGCCGCCGCCTCCGCCTCCACTGCCGCCACCTACACCTCCACCCCCGCCACCACTCCCACCACCACCCCCACCCCCTCCACTGCCGCCACCGCCACCTCCGCCACCCCCGCCAGCCCCTCCAGCACCCTTGCCCCCCTTGCCCTTGCCGGTGCGGCGTCTCCCGCTCGGGGCAGACGCAGCGCCGACCGACTCGAAACCAACGAGGTCGGCCGCAGCAGCAGAGGCAACAGAGGGCAAAAGGGGGGAGGGGGAACACCCCTCAAAGACGGGGGTGCGAGGGTCACCACGAGAGGCTCCTACAGCGACTATGCTCTTCTCTGCTGCTAGGAGGGCCTTCTCGAGGAGGTCAACGGTGAGAGTGGTGGGGCAAACTGAGAGGAAGTGGTCCCTGACTACGCGAAGGGAGTCAGGGAGCCGGGTGACTATGTAGTAGAGGGTGATGTACATGGGGGGGGGGTTCTTGGCGCAGAACTCAGCAGGAAGCGCAGTGCGGTAGCGAGTGTCACTAGTGCGGAGGTGCGTAATGAGGTCAGCGACTGTGGGAAAGGCAGCAAGGTCAGGGAAGAGGTACGGTAGCATGAGGCGGCTCAGTGCAGCAGTGGCAGGGGAGGAGTAGCGCGCAACTACAGCGTCGTACAAGGTGTGAGCACTCTTGTACTGGCTAAAGTGCGCACGCTCAGAGGTAGGCAGGTGGCGACGCACAGCAAGACGTGCAGCAGCATCGCGTGTGGCCCACTGTGAGCGAACAGTGGTGTCGGCATCAGCAGCAGGGGCAGGAGAGGCACCAGAGGTGAGGTCAAAGAGGGAGAGACCGTCTGCCCTATCGCACTGTAGGAAAAGCTGCAGGTCATCTACCCAGACGTCAAAGTCAATGGCCCGACCCTCAGCGTCAAAAGCGAGGACACTAGGGGTAGCCATGACAGCAGTAGACTAGCAGCGCGAACAGTAGGGTAAGGGCAGTGCAGTGACAGAGGCGCTGCTCTTACCGGACAGGGTGGCTCGAGCGGCTCGGCGGGTCGGCAACTCGGCGGCTCGGGCGGCTCGGGCGGCTCGGCGGTACGGCGGCTCGGTAGCAACTGCGGCTCGGCGACTCGGCGGCTCGGGCGGCTCGGGCGGCTCGGCGGTACGGCGGCTCGGCAGCAACTGCAGCTCGGCGGCTCGGGCGGCTCAGGTGGCGCGGCGGCTCGGGCGGCTCTGGTGGATCGGGCGGCTCGGCAGTAGCTCGGCGGCGCCGGCGGCTCGGTGGTGACGGCGGGGCCGCGTGGGGACAGCGGCGGGGCCGGGTGGAGCGGCAGCGGGGCTGGGTGGAGCGGCGTCGGGGCCGGGTGGAGCGGCGTCGGGGCCGGGTGGAGCGGCGTCGGGGCCAGTAGAGGCGGCGCCGGGGCCGGGAAGGGCAGCTCCGGGGCCGCAGGGGTAGGCGACGGGGCCAGCAGAGGCGGCGCCGAGGCAGGGAAGGGCGGCGCCGGGGCCGCAGGGGTAGGCGACGGGGCCGCGAGGACGGCTAGGAGGGGGGGGTCGTGAGGGCGGCTTGAAGAGGCCGCGAGGGCGGCTAGAAAGGGCCGCGAGGGCGGCGTGAAAGGGCCGCGAGGCGGCGCGACACGAAGGAGCCGCGAGGGCGGCGGATCGGGGCCGCGAGGGCGGCGCGACGCAGCCGCTAGGGCGGCGCGACGTGCAGGGGCCGCGAGGGCGACGCGACGGGGCCGCAGGCGCGACGCGACGGGGCCGCTAAGGCGGCGCGACAGGGTCGAGAGAGGGGAGCGCGACTCGGGCAGTGTAGAGCGCGCTCCGGGCAAGAAAAAAAAGGTGGTGGGCCCTAGGAACAGTTCCCACAGGGAAACCTGCTCGATACCATGAGAAACTGAACGAGAATGAATGACTAAGGGAAAGTTGGGTACAAAATGTAAACCCTAGAAAACTGTACCCCATATGAGCTACCCCACTATAGCCTACAGTAGCTATGTCATATAAATCTGACATAATGTATACATTATATATATATACATTATATACATATATACAAATCCAGCGCCATATAAATTGGTGATGAATAATGCAATATACAAAGAAAAGATGAGTGATGAAAACAACCAAATTTGACATCTCACAAGGTGATTTAGTAGAAAATATTGTGGCACCACACATACCACACATACCACACCATCATGCATGCAATACCATGCAGCCACCCTTGCATTCACTTTCACATTCACCTTCATACTCATTCTCACACTCACTCTCACACTCACTCTCGCACTCACTCTCGCACTCACTCTCGCACTCACTTTCAAACCCACTCACGCACACTCAACTTTTCTTAGACACTCTCTCTAAAACACAAACTCAATCCCTAGCACTCTGTCAAATATAGGAGGAGTACGGCCTAGGCTTAGTAGCCTAGGCCACAGTAGGACTAGAACGAGGAGGCGCCAAGTACGAGCTAGGATTGTGTGCAGGAATGGAATTGAGAAGGGATGATTGAACTAGCAAGCAGCAGGATACAAATAGCAAACCCTAAGGGGCTGTACTCACTATTGAGTGCCCCACTGCAGGCTACACAAACAGCATATTCTGACACACCCCCATAGCCAAAGTGGGGTGTAATCAGCACAATGAGCAGGCAGTGCAATAGTTCACAATTATCAGCAAAGCTAGAGGCTATCACAGAGGGCAAGTGAGGAGGAGGAGGGACTGTGAGGGGGAGAGAAGATGGGAGGCGACGACTGAAGCTGCAGACACACGGGCAACAGAAGCGGCTGACACAGTGGCGGCTGACACAGTGGCTACCGAGGCAAGGGCCCCGGACTACTGGAGTAACTGGCTCTGCGGCTACGACGAGCGGCAGAAGCAACGGACCCACGGGCAACTGGTGCAGCAGGCTCTCTGAGCTACCGGAGACAAGGGCCCCGGAATACAGGAGTAACAGGCTCTGCGGCTGCGACGAGCGGCAGGAGCAACGGACCCACGGGCAACAGGTGCAGCAGGCTCTCTGAGCTACCGGCGACAAGGGCCCCGGAATACCGGCGCTGCGGACGACACGACGGCTGCCTCCACTCAACCTCCCCCAACTGTCCCACACCCCCCTACACACACCCCCAGTTTCACCCCTAGCTCCACTCCCACATCACCCCCCTAGCTCCACTCCCCACAGCTCCCACACCTCCACCCCCCTCAGCGGCAGCTGCAGCAGTGGGAGACGAAAAAGGAGGAGGGGAGAACCCACACCTCTCACCCCCATGCTTGCCACCCCACACCCCCACCACCGCGGAACGCACGGCGGAATGGGAGCAATGGGCAGCACGGGGGGGGGGGGGGGGGGGGGGGGGGGGGGGGGGACGGGACGGGCTTCCGCAGGGGCGGCTCGCGCGGGTCCTGGGGCGGCTGCTGAAGGCACGAGCTGCTCCAGGGGCGGCTGCTGCAGGCACGGGCTGCTCCAGGGGCGGCTGCTGCAGGTGCGGGCTGCTCCAGGGGCGGCTGCTGCAGGTGCGGGCTGCTCCAGGGGCGGCTGCTGCAGTGGCGGGCGGCTCCAGGGGCGGCCGCTGCAGGTGAAAGGCAGGAGGAGGGGGGGGGGGGGGGGGGGGAAACGCACGGCCCCCAGGGCGCCCCGAGGGGCGACGACAAGGGAGCCGCGCGGCCCCCCCCTGGGGCGCCGCGACGGGCACCAGGGAGGGCGCCGCGACGGGCCCCCAGAGCCGCCTCGACGGGCGACGGGGAGGGCGCCGCGCGGGCCCCCCGAAGTCGCCTCGACGGGCGACGGGGAGGGCGCCGCGCGGGCCCCCCGAAGTCGCCTCAACGGGCGACGGGGAGGGCCGCGCACGGCCCCCGAAGTCGCCTCGACGGGCGACGGGAGGGGACCGCGCGCGGCCCCTGTGGTCGCCACGACGGGCGACTGGTGGGGAGGCCGCGCGGGCCCCCAAGGTCGCCTCGACGGGCGACGGGAGGGGAGGCCGCGCGGGTCCCCGAGGTCGCCTCGACGGGTGACGGGAGGGGAGGCCGCGCGGTTCCCCGAGAGCGCCTCGACGGGCGCTTCGACGGGAGGGGACCGCGGAGGCCCCCCCAAGGGCACCACGACGGGCGCCACGGAAGGGAAAACCGCCAGGCGCCCCGAGCGCGCGGCGGGCAGAAATTAGGGTTTCGCCGCCGCGCACCACGGGGCGCGCGGCGGACACTGCGGCAGCGGAAGCGGGTGGTGGGCCCATACACAGGAAGGCGGCAGACATGCCGCCCTCTGATACCATGTCAAATATAGGAGGAGTACGGCCTAGGCTTAGTAGCCTAGGCCACAGTAGGACTAGAACGAGGAGGCGCCAAGTACGAGCTAGGATTGTGTGCAGGAATGGAATTGAGAAGGGATGATTGAACTAGCAAGCAGCAGGATACAAATAGCAAACCCTAAGGGGCTGTACTCACTATTGAGTGCCCCACTGCAGGCTACACAAACAGCATATTCTGACACACTCACCCTTGCTCTCATGCTCGCGCTCTCTCTTGCACATGGACACACAATCGCACGAACCCTCGCACGCACCCCAAACTCACCCTTGCACTCACCGTCAGACTCACCCTCACAGTCACTCTCGCATACACTCTCACACCCACTCTCGCACCCACCCTCGCACTCACTTTCGTACTCACCTTCACACTCATGCACGCACTCACGCTTCCAATCATACTTGCACTCACCATTGCAATCACACCCACACCATTTCACCAAACCTCATACTCACACACACACACACTCGCACTCACCCTTGAACTCGCCCTCTCAATCAGCCTGTCACTCACCCTTGCATTCACCCTCGCACTCACGCTCGCACTCACCCTCGCATTCAATCTCGCACTCACCCTCATTCTCACTCTTGCACGCGCACTCGCACTCACACTCGCACTCTCACGCGCTGAGACGAGGGACGAGCACGAGTATAGAATATGAGAAAACAAGAGTTTCTTTCGCACACTCTCACGCGCTCTCTCACGCGCACCTTCACGAGCACCCTCACGCGCACCCTCATGCGCACTCTCACGCGTTCTCTCACGCGCACTTTCACTCGCACTCTCACGCGCCCACTTACGTGCATAATCACCCGCTCTCCCACGCGCTCTCTCACGCGCTCCCTCACGCGCTCTCGCATGCGCACCCTCACGCGCACTCTCAGGCACACTCTCACGTGCTCTCTCACGATCTCTCTCTCTCGCACTCATTCTCTCTCTCACGCGCTCTCTCACGCGCTCTCTCACGCGCTCGATCACGTGCTCTCGCACGCACACCCTCACGCGCACTATCAGGCACACTCTCATACGCTCTCTCTCGTGCTCTCTCTCTCGCACTCTCACGCGCATTCTCTCTCTCACGCGCACTCTCACGCGCTCTCACGCGCTCACTCACACGCTCTCTTACGCGCTCCCTCACGCGCGCTCTCACGCGCGCTCTCACGCGCACTCACACGGGCACTCTCACGCGCACTCTCACGCGCACTCTCACGCGTTCTGTCACGCGCTCTCTCACGCTCTCCCTCACGCGCTCTCTCCACGCTCCCTCACGCGCACTCTCAGGCACACTCTCACGCGCTCTCTCTCACGCTCTCTCACGCGTTCTCTCACGCACTCTCTGACGCACTCCCTCACGCGCTGTCTCGCGTGCTCTCTCACGTGCTCCCTCACGCGATCTCGCATGCGCACCCTCACGCGCACTCTCAGGCACACTCTCACGCGCTCTGTCTCACGCTCTCCCTCTCTCGCCCTCTCTCGCGCATTCTCTCTCTCACGCGCACTTTCACGCGCTCTCTCATGCAATCTCAAGCGCACTCTCAGGTACACTCTCACGCGCTCTCTCATGCTCTCTCTCTCTCTCTCTCGCACTCTCACGCGCATTCTCTCTCTCACGCGCACTCTCACGCGCTCTCTCACACGCTCACGCGCTCCCTCACGCGCTCTCTCACGCGCACTTTCACACGCGCTCTCACGCGCACTCTCACGGGCACTCCCACTCGCACTCTCACGCACACTCTCACGCGTTATCTCACGCGCTCTCTCACGCGCTCTCTCACGCGCTCCCTCACGCGCACTCTCAGGCACACTCTCACGCGCTCTCCCTTGTCAAACATTATACATGTTCATATTGTGTAGGCTATAGTGGGTTTAGCCTTAGGGGGTACAACATTGCTAGGGTTTCCTACTTGTATCACCCTGCTGCCTAGTTTCACACATTCTCGTTCAGTTCTACATTCTAACATGGTATCACGAGCCTAGGTTGCTACCTAGGACCGCTTTCTCCTACGGGCCCACTATTCCGCTAGAAGCGCCCTCGTGCGCCCTACCTTACGTGCGCCCTCGTGCGCCTTTCTATACTCGTGCGCCCTCGTGCGCCCTACCTTACGTGCGCCCTCATGCGCCCTCGTGCGCCCTACCTTACGTGCGCCCTCGTGCGCCCCCGTGCGACCTGCCCTTCGGTCTGCCCGCGTGCCGTCCTGCAGCCCTCGCGCTGCCTCCTGCAAGCTAGTACGGCCCTCGAGCCGCCCCTGCAGGTCCGTCAGGCCCCCGAGCCGCCTCTGCAGACCCGTCAGGCCCCCCCGAGCCGCCTCTGCAGGCCCGTCAGGCCCGAGAGCCGCCCCTGCAGCCAGCGCGCTGCCCTGCCGAGCCGCGTGTCGCCCGTGGGCGCTGCCTCTGCCCCGTCGCGCTGCCCTGAGGAGCCGCGCGCGACCCCCGCTATCCCGTCGCGTCGCCCTGGGGAGCCGCGCTCGGCCCCCGCTGCCCCGTCGCGACGCCCTGGGGAGCCGCGCTCGGCCCCCGCTGCCCTGTCGCAACGTCCTGGGGAGCCGCGCTCGGCCCTCGCTGACCCGTCGCGACGCCCTAGGGAGCCGCGCGCGACCCCCCGCTGCCCCGTCGCGACGCCCTGGGGAGCCGCGCGCGCCCCCCCCCCCCCCCCCCCCGCTGCCCCGTCGCGGCGCCCTGGGGAGCCGCGCGCCGCCCCCCCCCCCCCCCCCCCTCGCTGCTGCCCGAGCCACCCTGCAGCCCGCGAGCCGCCTCTACAGCGCCGAGTGCGCTCTGCCAAACCCTAAAATAAATAATTAATTATTAAAAAAAAAAAAAAAAAAAAAAAAAAAAAGGGAGCAGCTGCCCCTGGCCCCTGGAGCAGCCGCCCCTGGAGCAGCCGCCCCTGCAGCAGCCGCCCCTGCAGCAGCTGCCCCTGCAGCAGCCGCCCCTGGACCTCTGCAGCCGCCCCTGGCCCCTGGAGCAGCCGCCCCTGCAGCTGCCACGGAGCCCTCGCCCTGCAGTGGTAGCGGCCTCGCCGTTACCACCGTCGTACGCCTGCCCTTCTCGCCACTGGTGAGCACTGCCCTGCCCGTATTGCTGTTACTGCTGCTCCTGCTGCTACTGCTCTTTCTACTTCTACTGCTGCTCCTGGCGTGGCCAAATGCAGCTCCAGCGCCGTCCGCGTGAGTCCCTCACGCCCCAACAGCTTCGTGAGTGGTATGCTGGTTGGGGTTGTAGGGGTGGCCGCGCTGCTGCTACTACTACTGCTACTACTACTGCTACTGCTGCTCCTGGCGGTGGCCAGATGCAGCTCCCGCGACGTCCGAGTGAGTCCCTCACGCCCCAGCAGCTTCGTGAGTGGTACGCTCAGCGTGGAGGGTCACGGGGTACTGCTCGCTGCCCGTACGTCATTCGCACTGGTGCTCGGACTGGTCAGCCTTGCGGGACGTTTGGTCACACAGAGTCCCGCTGCTTCGCCCGTCTGAGCGACGCCTGGCGTACAGAGTTTGGCGACGCGGCTGAGCTCCCCGACTGGGTGGAGCTGCTTAGGCAGAGGGTAGATATCTATGCTCTTGACTATGATGCTATCCTCACTGCCATGTATGCATTTCCTACTAGTGCTGAGAGTGCCTGTCACCTGTGTGTGCCGCCTGACCCCGGTATCCAGTCTGCTGCTCTAGGTACTGGTGAGGCTGCTGCACTAGGTGCTTGTGAGTCTGCGCCCTCTGGTACTGCGTCTACTGAGGCACTGCACACCTTCACACTGGACTCAGGCGCTTCCCGCTGTTTCTTTCGTGACCGCACTGCCCTTGAGCAGCTTGCTCGGCCGGTTGCAGTCTCCCTCGCTGACCCCTCTGGGGGTCCGGTCATTGCGACCTCCTCTACTGTTCTCCCTTGTCCTGCGGTCCCGTCGGGCACTCTGTCAGGTCTCTACCTCCCCTCGTTCTCTACGAACTTGGTGGCGGGTAGTGCGCTCCAGGACGGGGGTGTCCACCAGTTTACCCCTACCTACGAGCGTGTGACACACTGCACGTGCGCTCGGACGGGCCGCCACCTGGCTACCTTCACTCGGCAGCCGGGGTCGGACCTGTACACACTGACCACTGAGTCCCCACAGGTAGCTGCGTCTGCGTCTGCGTCGGGTCAGCTGTCTGCCCCCTGCTCGTGTCGCTCTCTGGCACACGAGACTGTCCTCTGGCACCACCGCCCTGGTCACCCGTCAGTGCAGCGCCTTCGTGCCATGCACAACCGGTACCTTGTCTCTGGTCTTCCCAGGGTTCTCCCTCCACTCCCACCCTCGCCTGCTCCTCCCTGCCTTCCCTGTGTCGAGGGGCGGCAGCGCGCCGCTCCTCACTCCTCCTCGTTTCCCCCGACGACTGCTCCCTTGCAGACGCTCCACATGGACGTGTGGGGCCCAGCCCGCGTCCGTGGACAGGGTCAGGAGAGGTACTTCCTGATCGTTGTTGACGACTACTCGCGCTACACCACGGTCTTCCCCTTGCGCACCAAGGGTGAGGTCCCTGATGTTTTGATCCCTTGGATCCGCGCTGCTCGTCTCCAGCTCAGTGAGCGGTTCCACTCGGACTTTCCTGTCCTGCGTCTGCACTCTGACAGAGGTGGTGAGTTCTCCTCTGACCTCTTGGCAGCCTACTGTGCGGAGCACGGCATCCGCCAGTCGTTCACGCTTCCGGCCTCTCCACAGCAGAATGGGGTTGCTGAGCGCCGCATTGGTTTGGTCATGGAGGTCGCTCGTACCTCCTTGATCCATGCGGCTGCCCCCCACTTTCTGTGGCCGTTTGCGGTCCGATACGCTGCGCATCAGCTCAACCTCTGGCCCCGTGTCTCCGTTCCGGAGACTTCGCCGACACTGCGTTGGACGGGAGAGGTTGGCGATGCGTCGCGTTTTCGGGTCTGGTGGTCCCGAGCTTTTGTTCGCGATACGTTCGCGGACAAGCTCTCCTCCCGCGCTGTTCCCTGTGTCTTCCTTGGCTTTGTCCCGGACGCGTCTGGTTGGCAGTTTTACCACGCCACCTCGCGCCGTGTCCTGCCCTCTCAGGACGTCACTTTTGACGAGTCCGTGCCCTACTACCGCCTCTTCCCCTACCGCACTGCCCCGCTCCCCCCCCCGCCTCTCTTCCTCGCGCCAGGTGCTGCTGTGGTAGACCCCCTCCCCCCTCAGGGTGCCGCTCCCTCAGGTGTGTCCCAGGTAGACCCGGTTGAGCCTGTCGAGGTAGCTGTCGACTCTCGTCCTGCCAGGGGTGCTGAGCCTGAGCGTGCGGAGCCTGGGGTTGCGGAGTCTGGGGGTGCTGAGCCTGGGGGTGCGGGGTCTGGGGGTGCGGAGCCTGCGGGTGCTGAGTCTGGGGGTGCTGAGCCTGGGGGTGCGGAGCCTGCGGGTGCTGAGTCTGGAGGTGCTGAGCCTGGGGGTGCTGAGCCTGGGAGTGCTACGTCTGAGAGTACTGAGCCTGAGCGTGCTGCACCTGGGGGAGGCCTCTCCTCGCAGCAGCTGCGTGAGTGGTACTTACAGTACTGCAGCCTCAGGAGAGGTGCTTCTGGAGCTCGGAGTGGTGCCGGAGCTGGTGCTAGTGCTTCCCCTCCTAGGCGGGAGCTGCCCTCTCCCCAGCAGCTCCGAGAGTGGTACGCTAGGCGCTGCAGTCTCCGGAGTGGCGCTCCCGGTGTCGTGGACTCTGGAGCTTCTGGAGTTACTGGAGGTGCTGCTGCTGCTGGCGGTGCGGCTGGCGCTGCTGGAGGTGCTGCTGGTGCTGCTGGAGCTGCTGGAGGTACTGCTGCTGCTGGAGGTGCTGCTGGCGCTGCTGGAGGTACTACTGGTTCTGGTGCTGCTGGAGCTGCTGGAGGTGCTGCTGCTGCTGGCGGTGCGGCTGGCGCTGCTGGAGGTGCTGCTGGTGCTGCTGGCGCTGCTGGAGGTGCTACTGGTGCTGGAGCTACTGGAGCTGCTGGTGGTACTGCTGCTGCTGGCGATGCTGCTGGCGCTGCTGGAGGTAATGCTGGTACTGGTGCTGCTGGAGCTGCTGGAGGTGCTGCTGCTGCTGGTGGTGCTGCTGGCACTGCTGGAGGTGCTGCTGGTACTGGAGCTGCTGGGGACCCTGCTGCTGCTGGCGATGCTGCTGGAGCTGCTGGGATTGGCCCTGCTGAGGGGGTTGGAGCTGGAGGTGCTGAGCGGCCACGGCCGTACTACGTTCCGCTCCTTCAGCAGGTTCTTGGCCTTCCGCCCTCTCCTGGTCCTACTCCTCCCCTACTGAGTCCACCGCTTGTCCAGTCGCAGTCACAGTTACAGCCTGTCTCTCCACTTCCTGGTCCTTCTCCCTACACTGCGCCGACGGGAGGTCTTACGGAGCGTCGTGAGCCTGAGTCTCGTCCTCCGTCGCCTGAGACGCGTCCAGAGTCGCCTGTCCGCGCTGTCCGCGCTGGTCGTCGTGTTCCACGTCAGCGTCCTCCTCCTGTCCTTGGCACTCACTATATGACCCTGCGTCCCTCTACTGCTCCACAGCGTGTCCCACTGCCGTCTCCACCAGCGTCCTCTCTTCCTGCTCTTGCTGACCCGGAGTCTGACTCTCTTCGTGCTGCCAGTCCTACTGTCACGCGTCTCCTTGCCACTGCTGTCACTGACCCTTCCTTTGAGTCCTCTGCTGCGTCTGCTCTAGTCGCTGAGCTTGTTGACTTTGCTGCTGCCTGTCGTCTAGACTACGCCGCTAGCCTTGTTGCTGAGTCTGAGTCTGTCTGTCCTCCGTCTGTCGGGGGTGAGTGTGCTCTTGGCACGGACGTCCTTGAGGACAGACAGGAGGAGTTTGAGTGCTTTGCCGCTGCTTTGCCTCATCTCGTGTCCATGCTAGTTGCCCCTGAGGGAGACCCGGATGCACCAGACATCCCGACCCCACGCTCCTACGCAGAGGCGATGGAGGGTCCCTACTCCTCTCAGTGGCAGACAGCCATGGACGCAGAGATGGCATCCTGGAAGTCCACAGGCACCTACGTCGACGAGGTTCCCCCACCTGGGGCGAACATCGTCAGTGGCATGTGGATTTTCAGGGTGAAGCGGCCGCCGGGTTCTCCGCCTGTCTTCAAGGCGCGTTACGTTGCACGAGGCTTCAGTCAGCGAGAGGGAGTTGACTTCTTCCAGACCTTCTCCCCGACCCCGAAGATGACCACTCTTCGGGTTCTGCTGCACGTCGCTGCTCAGCGTGACTACGAGCTCCACTCTCTTGACTTCAGCACTGCGTTCTTACAGGGCAGCCTGCATGAGGAGATCTGGCTGCGCCGCCCACCTGGCTTCACTGGGTCGTTCCCTCCTGGTACCCAGTGGAGCCTCCGGCGGCCAGTCTACGGTCTCCGCCAGGCACCCCGTGAGTGGCACGACACACTGAGGACTACTCTTGCTGCTCTTGGGTTTGCTCCTTCTACTGCTGACCCGTCGCTGTTTCTACGCACCGACACCACTCTGCCGCCGTTCTACGTTCTTGTTTACGTAGACGACTTGGTCTTTGCTACTGCTGACACTGAGGCACTCGCCCACGTGAAGTCGGAGCTGCAGAAGAGACACACGTGCACAGACCTGGGTGAGCTGACAAGCTATCTTGGCTTGCGGATCACCCGGGACAGAGCACAGCGCACCATCACCTTGACTCAGTCACACATGGTGCAGCAGGTCCTTCAGCGCTTCCGCTTCACGTACTCCTCGCCTCAGCCCACTCCTCTGCCTACCGGTCACTCGCTCTCAGCTCTGCCTTCGGATGAGTCCGTAGAGCCGAGTGGCCCGTATCCAGAGCTTGTGGGCTGCCTCATGTACCTGATGACCTGCACTCGACCTGACCTGGCATACCCTCTTAGCATCCTAGCACGCTATGTCGCTCCCGGCCGTCACCGGAAGGAGCACATGGATGCCGCTAAGAGGGTGTTGCGCTACTTGTGCAGTACGTCGGGCATGGGGCTCGTGCTTGGAGGTCGGAGCGACGTTGTCCTCACGGGTCACTCAGACGCTTCTTGGGCTGACGACCAGGCTACGCAGCGGTCGTCTCAGGGTTACACCTTCAGCCTTGGCTCTGGTTCAGTTTCTTGGCGTTCTACTCGCTCTTCTTCTGTTCTCAGCTCCAGTTGTGAGGCTGAGATCTACGCCACAGCCATGGCTGCACAGGAGTTACGCTGGCTCACCTACCTGCTGACCGACCTGGGAGAGCGCTCTCGTTCTCCTCCAGTGCTGTACGTTGACAACAAGGCCGCCATTGCCTTGTGTGAGGAGCACAGACTGGAGCACAGGACGAAGCACATCGCTCTGCGCTACTTCCTTGCTCGAGAGCTGCAGCAGCGTGGTCAGCTTCGTCTGCGTTACGTGGCCACTCGGGCCAACACTGCTGATGTGTTCACCAAGGCGCTTCAGCCTTGTGACCATCAGCGTTTCTGTACTGTTCTAGGCCTTGTGCCTACTCTCCCTCACTTGCTCACTTCTTGACTCTGCTTGTACTGTGATCTCTATATATATATATACCTGCATGTTTACTCTTGTTAGGTTGTGATCACTGTACCTCTTGTTATATTATCAAACTGCATGTGAACTGGTCTTGTGACCACTTGCTTGTGCTCGGAATTTGTGTGGTTTCCTTGAGATCCACCCTGAGCTTGCTTTGCTTTGCTTTGACTGGTCTTGTGACCATCTGGTTGTCTCCCACTTAGCCTATGGGGGTGTGTCAAACATTATACATGTTCATATTGTGTAGGCTATAGTGGGTTTAGCCTTAGGGGGTACAACATTGCTAGGGTTTCCTACTTGTATCACCCTGCTGCCTAGTTTCACACATTCTCGTTCAGTTCTACATTCTAACATCCCTCACGCGCTCCCTTACGCGCTCTCTCACGCACTCCCTCACGCGCTCTCTCACACGCTATCTCACGCGCACCCTCACGCGCACTCTCAGGCACACTCTCACGTGCTCTCTCTCGCGCTCTCTCTCTCGCACTCTCACGTGCATTCCCTCTCTCACGCGCTCCGTCTCTCCCCTTTTTCAAATGAAAGTGCCATGCAAGAGGAAACCAACACACAAAATTTAAGAAAAAAACAAAAAACAAACAACCCGCGCACTTGATAACCACGGTGTCTCACAAAACAACCCGCGCTCGTGCACCAACCCGCGGTCGCGTACCAACCCGCGCTTGCGCACCAACCCGCGATTGCGCACCAATCCGCGTTTGCGCTCCGGGCACCTGGCGGGGAGGAGGGAGGGCGGGGAGGATGGAGGGCGACGGCGGGGAGGAGGGAGGGCGATGGCGGGGAGGAGGAAGAGGCGACGACGGGGAGGAGGGAGAGGCGACGGCGGGGAGGAGGGAGAGGCGGCGACGGAGGGGAGGAGAGAGAGCGACGACGGGAAGGAGGAAGAGGCGACGACGGGGAGGAGGAAGAGGCGACAACGGGGAGGAGGAAGAGGCGACGGCGGGGAGGAGGGAGAGGCGGCGGCGGGGAGGAGGAAGAGGCGATGACGGGGAGGAGGGAGAGGCGACGGCGGGGAGGAGGGAGAGGCGACGGCGGGGAGGTAAGGGAGAGGAGATGGCGGGGTGGGACGGAGTGATTGTGAGGTGGGAGGAAGAGGCGATGGCGGAATGGGAGGGAGAGGTGACGGCGGAAATTGAGGGAGAGGATACGGGAATGGGAGGGAGAGCGACGGCTGGGTGGGAGGTACTAGCGACGGCGGGATGGGAGGAGAAATAGCTAGAGAAGAAATTGGGTTGGGTAGGAAAAGTAGCGAGCAAAGCAGGTGCTTCTCAGGAGGAACCAAGAACAGAACCAAAAACAGAATCAAGAAATGAAGAGCGTCAAATTCGAGTTTGACAGCTGTGAAAGGGACAGACACCTTGGGCTTGGTTGGGTTTGTCGTGGAGCTGGCGAGAAATTTTCTGCCAGCGCAGAATGAGGCACCGAAACTTTTCTCTATTCATAGAAGTATGAGCACAAGGGCGAATGGCAAGCTTAAACAAAACCTGGGCACTTGGCAATACTACAAAAAAACGCTCACACTAGACTTCGAAGCTAGTGTCACGTGGAAACACATGCGTGCCACGCCATTCAACATGCTGACACATCAGATACGGTACATTAGTTGCAAATAAAAAACCCGCTATGGTAACCTGATAGAACACTAGCATATGCTACATGTAAAAACAATTCAATTTTATTTCCAGAAAAAATTGTACCATGTCAATTAACACTCAAAACAATTTTGAGGGAAGAAAAATCTAGAAAATAAAATTCCATAATAAGTGACTATCGAGCTTGTTCCATTTTTTGTAGTTAGGAAGATCTTAGTAAATTGCTTCTATAAGTATAATATACTCCATAATAATGTTTCTTACATAGAGGATACAACTCAACGCAACCCTTCCGACGTAAACGTCGAGTCTTGTTTATGTCTCAAACGCTTTTTCCTAATGGCGTGCGAGGACCAGAAGTGGAGCCGAAATCGTGACGACAGTTACCACTCGACCCAGCTTGCGAGATCGAACCGAAATCACACGCGTGTCGCAGAGCGACCAACCTATCATGCGACTGCAGCAGACAGTTCCAGGTTCGCGTTTGCAACGAATGAAATGGAAACCGTCACGAACGGGAGCGAGCGGGAGAGCGACAGAACCGGGGGTGGACTGTGCGACCCTGTACCTGGCGCTCGTCCACAAGATGGGTTGAATGCGGTGCAGTCTGGTGGAGTAGTGCGCCGGGGAGTGGAAGGCGTAAAGGAGGGAGCGGCTCGTGAGGCGTCAGCTGGGCGGAACGAGCGATGGCTCATGGCAGCGCTGATGGCGGAGGGATTGAATGCGGTACAGTCAGGTGGAATAGAGCGAGGACAACAAGGCGGAGAGGGATTGAATGCGGTGCAGACAGGTGGAACGGAGCGATGGCTCATGGCCGCGGTGATGGCGGAGGGATTGGCTGCTCCGATTGATTCCTTGGGGTGTGGTTCTGGGCTGCCCGTTCTAGACGGTCAACAATGTCAACGCAGTCAATGTGGTCCAGCGCTGGAAAGTCAACGCGGTCAACTCAGTACCTCTTTGGGCAGCCAACGCAGTCAAGACAGTACAGCTTTGGAGAGTCAACGCGATCAGCAGAGTACAGCTTTGGTCAATCAATGCGATCAAAGCAGTCTGGTGTGGGAGAGTCAACGCGGTCAACGCGGTCAACGCGGTCAACACACTTCAAGCAGTCGCAGTGACTCCGGCGTCCTGGCCGTGGGCTTGCACCAGACTCACATTCCGGCTCCCACACACGCCGCCCCATCTCCCTTGCACGCTCGTTCCCACACCCTCCCTCACCCTCACTCCCACACTCCCACTCCTCTATCCACCCCCTCCTGCCTTTCCACAATCACAGCTATTCATCCAAACCCTAGTTCCACTCGTCTTTTTGAGGCTCCTAAGTTCACAAACCCTAATTCCGCTCAACCCGTTTTCACAAAACCCTTAAACCCCACGAACCGTCCATTCAACCATTTATCCAACCATCCATCTAACCATCCAATTAACCATCCATCTAACCATCCAATTAACCATCCATCTAACCATCCAATTAACCATCCATCTAACCATCCAATTAACCATCCGTCCAACCCTCCGTCCAATTCTCCATCCAGCCGTCCATCCAACCAGGGCCGGGACCCCCTGAAAGGACCCCCTTCGCACGCTCCCCCTCATCACCGTCCATCCCTCAGCCCTTTTCATCCTCTTGACAGTAAAGAAAGTGACAGGCTCGGTGATGACAGGCTCGGCACGGACAGGCTCGGTACGGACAGGGTTGGCATGGACAGACTCGGAACGGATAGGCTCGGCACAAACAGACTCGGCATGGACAGGCTCGGCAGGGGCAGGTTCGGCCAGGAGACGCTTCATAGTGAGAGTGGGAAGCAGAGGCTCGAGCACAAACCTCCTTCTTCTTGTGTGTCAGCTGCTATTGGTGCACAGTCCTATGCTGCTGTCCCCATGGTTGCTGCACGCCCACATAATATTCCCATGGGTACCCACCCTCGTGGTACCCCCATGGGTACACACCCACGTGGTCGTGCTTCCACCGTGGGTGCAGCTGCTGCAGATGCAACGGTTGGGCATGGTGATAGTGATGGAACCAGAGGTGATACAAATGAGGCAGGCAGAAACGAGGGAGACAGCAAGGAGTGTGATATAGGAGGGGCCAGCTGTGGTGCTGAGGAGGATGTGACTGCAGACCAAGTGCCTCTGCCCAACCATCCAGGTGAGAGAGCCTGCCATTCTCGTTATAAGCACATGCCAAACCCGGATGAATCGCGGTGGCCTCGGTGTTTCCCATATTCACGATTGTGCCCCTGAGCCCTAGCTGCCTGTTGCTCTGGTGCTCCCCTTGACTGGCTCGCCACCAAACAGTGCAAGACCTGCAAGGGGGAGGGGGAGGAGCTAATTGAGCCTTTCTGGCCATGGGGAGAGAATACGAGACAAGGAAGGTTTTCAGGCCTCCATTCCTGCACTTGTGTCCCTTTCTGTGCCCCTTCCTGCCTGCCTGTTCCTCTGGTCTTGAGCTGGCGATGGAGCGAGATTTTGAGGCGGGGAAGATGCCCACATGCATCCATGCCTCCATGCATCCATGCATCCATGCATCCATGCCTCCATGCATCCATGCCTCCATGCATCCATGCATCCATGCATCCATGCATCCATGCCTCCATGCATCCATACATCCATGCATCCATGCATCCATGCATCCATGCATCCATGCCTCCATGCCTCCATGCATCCATGCATCCATGCATCCATGCCTCCATGCATCCATGCCTCCATGCATCCATGCCTCCATGCATCCATGCATCCATGCATCCATGCCTCCATGCATCCATGCCTCCGTGCATCCATGCCTCCATGCATCCATGCCTCCATGCATCCATGCATCCATGCATCCATGCATCCATGCCTCCGTGCATCCATGCCTCCATGCATCCATGCCTCCATGCATCCATGCATCCATGCATCCATGCCTCCATGCATCCATGCCTCCATGCATCCATGCCTCCATGCATCCATGCCTCCATGCATCCATGCATCCATGCATCCATGCCTCCAGTCTGTGTCCCTTGCTGCTGCATGCCGTTCTTTCTTCCCCCAGGCTGGCTCACAACAAGTGGCTCTGGACCTCAAGGAGGAGCTGATAGAGCTTGAGGTGGTGATGGAGAGGGGGAGTATGAGGCGGGGACGATGCTGCTTTTTGAGAATTCTCAGAAACTAGTATGAGGCGGGGACGATGCTGCTTTTTGAGAATTCTCAGAAACCAGTATGAGGCGGGGACGATGCTGCTGTTGACTCGACTCCATGCTTCCATCCATGTCGTGTGTCTGTGTGCTGTTCTGTGCCACTCTCCTTGTCATTCTTTCAGGCTGGCTCACTACCAAGCGCCGCAAGAGTCGGAAAGAGGAGCTGTTAGAGCTTGAGTTGGCAATGGAGCGAGAGTATGAGGCTGGGAAGAGGCAGCAAAAGGGAGGGAGGGTAGACGCACACAAGAGATTGAAGAGGGGGGAGGGAGCGTGGGAGTGGGGGAGTGGAAGGGAGAGGGCAAGCGGGGAGAGAGGAGGAAGGAGGAGCGGAGAGGCAGGGGTTGAAGGTGAGGTGATAGATGGAGAGGAGGAAGAGTTGGAGGAGGAGAGGGAGTGGCAGGCGAGTGGAGAGAGGGGAGAGATGCAGCAGTATGGTGGTGATACTGTGGGGGCAGAGGCAGGTGGTGGGCATCGCTTGAGGGGATGGGAGACGCGAAGTGAGACAGGAGGAGCGAGGGGTGGAGACGGAGAGATGGAGAGGGCGAGGGAGGGGGAGAGAGAGAGGGAAACAGAGAGGCAGAGGGAGAGGGAACAAGAGCACGAGCAGGAGAGGGAGTGGGCAAGGGAGGTGGAGAGGGAGAGGCAAAGGGAATGGCAAACCCAGTGGCGGCAGCAACAGGAGCAGGAGGAACAGGAGGAGCAGCAGAGGCGGCAGCGTCGGCGGCACTCTCGACGGGGAGGGAGAGCTGAGGCGTTTGGGCTTGAAGAAGATGATTTCATTGACCAGGTGCGTCGTTGTTGGTGTTGGAGAGGTGACTTTCGTGTCGACTAAAGAAGGGAGAGCTGAGGCGTTTGGGCTTGAAGACGACGATTTCATTGACCAGGTGCGTTGTCAGGTTGGGATAAGTTCTGAGAGTTCTCAAAAGCAATCACGGCAGGGATGGGGAGTTGAGGCTTTTGGGCTTGACGAAGATGATTTCATTGACCAGGTGCTGTTGAATTGCTGCACCCTTCCTAACCCCATCAGTTCGTATTTTCATCCACTGCTGCGTCACTTCTCCCTCATACCCTCCTTTCCCCCACACCCCCCCTTCCCCTCCCCTTCCCCTGTGCTCCCCCACCCAAACTCCCAACACCCCCTCCCCCCCCTTCCCCTGTGCTCCCCCTCTCTGCCCTCGCTCCCTCTCTCCCTCTCTCCCTCTCTCTCCCTCTCCCGTTCCACCTCCTCCATTCCTTGTTACCATACCCTCCTTCCTATGCGCAACTTTTCGAAAGCATGCTCCTCTTAACACATTGCGCAACTTACTTTTATCACTTTTTTTGTTCTTGTGGACAGATGGTCCCAGAGGATTGATCACCTGACAATGGGCACACGACGATAAGAAACAATAAGTACCAGTAATGAATCGGGGTCATCTGGTTGTCCTAGATGAGAATGAAAATCTGTTTTGCCTGCTGCTGCGTTTCAGCTTCAGTAACTTGACATTCGAATATTATTTTATGCGGTGGTGCTTGTTCAATTCAGTCGCACATCTCAAAGACTAGTGTGATGAATTGTACAGAAATGTAGATTTCACGAAGTGCTTTTATCTCACTGCAGTAAGCTGGTCTCAACAGTTCAAAGCAATCGTACGCGTTAGCGAGGCAGTTACTACCCCTCCAAAACCTTGAAGTTGCCATAGTATTGAAGCAACACCACACAAACTAAGCAGTAGTAGTACTTGGCGGTGGGAGGGCGACCACTCGCGTCGCGATAGCACGTACAAGCACACTTGAAGGCTGGGAGCTAATTGAAAGCTCATTTGCGGATATCCTATTGCCGTTACGCTTGCCGTCCCAGTTTTCGGTCTCCTGGCGGAGTTCGTTAAGCGCAGATATAGCTGTCGTTAGTTCACCTCTTCTCCACGCGATCGGCGTCGCCGTTCCGTCGTCGCGCGACTGCCCACCCGTCGCGAGACTCCTAAGCCGTCGCAGCGCTTTATAAAAACGTCGCGAGGCTCTTAACCGTAGCTGTCGCGTCGATCGCAACCTTAGTTTCAGTCGCTTCGACAAAGGATCGAAGCCGCAGCTGTTCCGTAACGAGTCTGCGATCTGTCAGACTGCTTCCGCCTGCCGCGAGGTTTCCTGGGCTCGCTGGTAACCGCGCTGCGTTTCCCAGCCGTGAGAGGGTGTTTCCCAGCAGTGCTTACGTTGAATTCTCCTTCAGACTGTTTCCTGCTGGGTGTGATTTTTTGGGTTCGCTGTACTCGCACTGCATTTCCCGGCCGTGAGAGCTAGATTGCGAGAGCGACGTGACGAGAGTGACGTGGCGAGGGTGACGTGGCGAGCGCGAGGTTGCGATGGTGTGGTGCAGCTACTGTGGGCGCGACCAGCAGGCGGAGGTCGACGAGGCCAATGGCTTCTCGTACGTTCCTTCCTGCTCGTTTCGGTTCGCTCATTCATCATGCGTATCTTTTGAGGCGCCTTAAAGGAGTTTCTCATTCTTCCTGCTCATTTTCGTTCGTTCGTTCACAATTCGCTTGTGTTACAATCAAGCGTAACAACCGTGTGTAGTGTGGACGGATCGTTCGACCTGGCACTTGGTTGCGCCGTTGATCGCTCCCTTTCCTCCGCTCCCGGCGCCTCGATGTGCCCGTCTGTCTGCTTTGTTGTCTGCCTGTTGTCCCCCCTCTACAGATGCTGCACGGGCTGTGGGCGAGTGCTGGACGATACCGTCTACTCGTCCGACACTGTTTTCATGAAACAATCCGATGGCTCTGTAAGCGGGAAACGCATTAACGAGTACAGGTCTCATGATTATGAAAACTAATATTGATTTGTCTCACTACTTCCTCCTGGCCTTTCCCCACCCCACCAATTTGCCCTTGAAGCTTTCTTCCTCACCTATTCATTCATCTATTGCTCTGTGATCTCTTCGACCCTCCTCTCTCCCTCTGTTCCAGAGCATGGCCATGGGAAGCTTCGTGGCAGATGCAGGAGGAGGGGGGCCGGTGGTGCGGCTGGGAGGAGCCAGGGGGTTTGCCTTTGGGGGGTCGTCAGAGTCTCACGAGCGCACAGTCATGAGAGGTGGGTGTGATACAAACGGATGCAGCATTGCTGGGAGTTTGGTGCAGGAGGATGGGGGCCAGCAGTGTGGCTGGGCTGGGGGAAGCCAGGGGGTTTGCCTTTGGGGACTCGTCAGAGTCACATGAATGTACAGTCATGAGAGGTGCGTGTGATACAAACGATTGTTGTCTCCCTCCCTCTTCACCACCTCTCCGCTCACCCCTCACCCTCCTATTTCATTCCTCTTTACCTCTTGCTGATGCTCCTCGCTTGAGCCTTTGAGGAACTCCTAAAGCTCCTCCTCCCCCTTCCCAGTCCCCTGCCCCTCACCCCCCAATCCCCTCTCCCCCCAATCCCTCCCTCCTGAACCTTTGCAGGGCGAAATGAGATTGCAGAGATAGCTGAGCGTCTGGCTGTGCGACCACGAGAGGACATGATTGGGTCAGCGCACCGGCTGTACCAGGTACTAACCCCCAAACCCCTCTTGAACCCTCTTGGTGTCTTCAGATTTTTGTGAATCTATGTGAACCTTCTTATTTTATTTGAAACCCCAAACTGAAAAGTTGTTTATCCGGAGTACATACTATTACAGGCACACAGGGTGTCATGGCCATGCATGCATGCACCCATATGTGCAGTGCATGTGCATCCATCCATGCTGTTCAGCACATGCCATCGCTAATGAAGGCCATCGTGCCGAAACGCGTACACTCAGTTAAGGATAATAATTCCTTTATTAATTGATCCCTACCTAGCCTAGGTCTAGGACACCTACGGAATAGTGAAGATTAGACGAGATCGGTCTGTTGGATCTAGGTCGAATCTATACTTCTCTACATACTATTACAGGCACACGGGGTGTCGTGGCCATGCACCTATATGTGCATTCATGCTGTTCAGCACAAGCCGTCTCTGATTCTATAGCGCTGCACATCCGCACATGCATGGCGTGTCCATCTCACATGCACGGAACGTCCATCGCACATGCCATGCACACATGCATGCATGGTCATCACACCAATACGTGCGTGCGCATCTGCCCTTCCCCCACCCGCCCTTTCTGACTCATGATTGCACCCGAGGACGACGTGTGGCGCAGGTGACAGCTGTTTCTTAGAAGGCATGCCGAGGTGACTTTTGAGTTGACTAAAAAATCACCTTTCTAGAGGGCTTATTTGCTTTTTGCCCCGGGCATGTTGACGCATCGAAAAGCGTCGACATGCGTGTCCGTTGAGATATACCAAGGAAGGAGAGTGGCGCAGGTGGCAGCTGTCTCTTGGAGGAGCTGACTTGAGTTCCCTCTCTCTCCCCAACCCCCAACTCCCCAACAACTCCTCCTTTTCTCAGTTGGCTCTGAATCGCAACTTCACCCGAGGAAGGCGAGTGGCGCAGGTGGCAGCTGCATGCCTCTACCTCGCCTGCAGGTGGGTTCAGGTGCCTGAATCCATGTTTGATTCTAGAGCGTCAAATAATATAGTTTTGAGTGAGGCAGGCAACTAGCGCGGTGGCAGCAGCAGGTCTTTACCTCGCGTGCAGGTGGGCTTGTATCTGATGCTGCTGGGCTTTTGTCTGATGCTGCTGGGCTTTTGTCTGATGCTGCTGGGCTTTTGTCTGATGCTGCTGGGCTTTTGTCTGATGCTGCTGGGCTTGTATCTGATGCTGCTGGGCTTGTGTCTGATGCTGCTGACATGCAGGAAGGACAAGCAGCCCTCTTCTTTTTGTTTTCCATTGAGATTTACGACTTGCTTTGAGGCAACTTAATAAGTCAAGCTACCTCTTCTCTCCTGACTCATGCCATGTCTCCCCTCTTGACTCATCTCCCCCATGTGCATTGTCTGACAGGCAGGAGAAGAAGCCCTTCCTGCTTATTGACTTTGCCGACTTGCTGCAGATCAACGTGTAAGTGTGCCTCTCACCATCCGCTCGCCAGCCGCTCACTAGCCCCTCACATCCTAGTTTTCAGCCTCTCACAAGCCTCTCTCCCTCTGTCTTAGCTTCTCTGAGTGGCTGGCTCTCTTTTAGTTATGCACGCTCTTCTCTCCCCCACTCTCCCGCTCACGATTTTATTCTCCATAGGGTGACAACTGTGATAATGTTTAGGCGCCGGAAAAAGTAGACAACCGTTAGCGGCTTCAGGTTATGTCTCCTTCCGTTCGTTTTCAAACTCGCTTCACTTTCTCCCAACCTTTCTTTCCCTTTCACCAAGGGACTGGGAGAAATGTACCTCCAGCTGCTGCTGGTGCTGCGGCTGGAGAATCACGAGCCGTCACAGGCCCTGACTCATCCCTTTCCTTTTCTCTCTTGTCGCTCTCACCACTCTCTAATTTCAATCTCACAGGTATGTGCTGGGGGCGGTGTATCTGCAGCTGCTGCTGGTTCTGAGACTGGAGAACCACGAGCCGCTACAGGCACCGCTGGACCCTTCCCTTTTCATCCACCGGTTCGCCGACCGTAAGTGTTTCTCTCCTCTTTCGCTGGTTTCACTTCTCCAGCTACGTTCTGGGAGCGGTGTGTCTGCACCTACTTCTGCAAATGCTGCGGCTGGAGAACCACGAGCTGCTATAGGCACCGCTGGACCCTTCCCTCATCCACCGGTTCGCCGACCGTAAGTGGCTTTTGAGTCGCTGCAGGCACTGCTGTCTCTATCCCTCTTCATACACCGATTCGCCGACCATAAGTGTGCTCTGTTATATAGCTGTACCACTAATCATGCACCCTCATCCGATGACTGGTACCAGTCAGCACCCTCACACGAGCATCAGGTTTTTGCACTCCACACGAGCACCTCCAACCTCATGCCAGATTGTGTATGGAACCTTGGAATCTTATGTTTGGTATAAATTCCTGTGTCCTGACAATGGGCACGTACGAATTGACTGGGGACACGGTCGATGCCAGCTTCACGTAGGGCTTGCACAGGGCCTGACTGGCCATGGAACACGCGAGCAGTGGTCGTGGAGGCTCGTCCCTTGTGATGAACGGTATCAGGCGTCCGGTCGTGCACATGAACTCCTGGGCCTGTGCCTCATCGTCCCTGTCAGGCAGCCTATGTTCTGGTAGCCTTGTCACACGGCCTGAGTGCCAGGTCAAGTTATCGATCCAGACACCTGGCAACGTTGCGTCGGCCCCGTCAAGGTGCCTGGCCATGACACCGGTGCAAGTCACAAGGCACACGACCTTGGCCTGCCTGAACAGGTGCAGCAGTGGACCGGGCACGTCCGAGGACTGCAGCTCGGGTGATCGCCAGGCTGCGACGATGGCTGAGACATGCTCGAACGAGACTCTGACCACGTAACCAGACCAGCAGACAAGCCACTCGTCACTGTCACTGTGATCACTGCCCACGTGAGCCATGGCATGGTCCAAGATCAACTGCAACCGGTCCAGCATCCTCGTGTCCTCGACCAGGAGCCTGACACCGTGGGCAAGACGACGTATCCTACCAGCTTCAACGGACGTTGGCGTGTACAGACAATCGATAAAGCCCTCAGTCCAGGTCACAGGCTGGCGTGCTTCCAGGTCAGGTGTACTGGGCTCCTCGCCTGGGTTCATGTCAATGACCTGGTAGTCTGACAGTGTTCCAAGTATGCCATGGTGCTTGGTCACTTCATTGATGGGCTGGAACACGTCCTGCCAGGAGGCATTGTCCATTGCCTGGGACGCTTCCTTGACCGCAGTCCAGGCGTAGGCTGTTAGCAACCTGTCATCGGCATACGCGTTGACCACGCGCTGTTGCAGGCTGTCAACAGCACCGGCAGGGATCGCTGTCAGATCACGTGGGCACCAGGGCTTGTGACACAGGCGACGCATCCTGACAGCCTTGACCACGTCACGCAGTCCTGTGACACGGATCCTTGGCCACATTGCGATCCTGCCACCAGCAACTGGACAGGGCATCACGGACACAGGCTGTGCCATCGCAAGGGGACGCATCGTGCCCTCGGACTGAACATCGACACACTCTGGTTCAACGGTCCCTGTCACAGCGACCGTACGCATGAACACGGCCGTACGCGTGATCGGATCCCGTAACGGCAGCTCGTTGACCAGTCCAGGCGTCGTACCACGTGACACCTGTCATGTGCTTGCCAACAGTCCATCAGCGAACCCTGGTAGCTGTCCGACGTCAATGCCTGGGTCCTCGTGCAATGGCAATTCGTCTGCTGAAAATGGCGCTTCCATGATCGAGTAAGTAGACTTTTGAACACGTTCAAGCAGTCAAAGTCCACGGTCCAGTGCCTCGCACAGACATGCGACGTCCGAACCAGCCATATGAGCCACAGTCAACAGCTCCCTGACATTGGGCAGGCCACAGGACTGCAGAATCCTAGTAACACTGGCCTGGAACTTGCTCATGGCCCAGTTCAACGACGGCTGCACGCTGGCTGATTCGAATCGGTCCATTGGCAACGTCACGTGAGCACCGATCGAGTCAATGAACTGTACGCTTGGCACGCCCTGGATCCTGCGCTCGATGCACAGGTCAGCAGAGCACAAGTCACTAGACAGCCAACGGGTCAGGGACTCGACCATCGTACGTGCGACGTGGACCAAGTCACGATTGCCCTGGCAGATGCACTTGGCCACGATCTCCATGAACGCCTGCGCTGCCTTGGGCCTGTCACGTCTGACTGATGCCAGGCCCTTTGCATGCCAGACGGGATCCTTGCCACAGGAGCCGAACCTTGTGCGCATGCCACAGTACGCCTTCTTGCCCACGCAGATCAGCTGCAGGTACGTGGCCTCTGACTCCAGGCTCAGCGACACAAGAGGCGTGCGTCCGAAGACTGAGCCAACATACCTGGTGAAGGCCGTGACCCTGCCCTCGAATGCCTGCAGACCGTCCGATGACCTTGGCAACGTCACAAAGACTGAGTCCGTGTCACCGTACACTGGTCTCAGCCCTGTGACCATTGCAATGCCACTGATCGAGGCCAATACCCATCTGCCAGCCGTTGTCACAGCCGATGCACACGTCCTTGATGAGAATGACGAATCCTTGGCCCCTAGCTCGCCATAGATGCTGAGGACTGCGATCTTGAATGACCAACCCATCGTGCTCTTGCGACCGACCTCGTCACGCTTGGCCATCAACGCCTCCAGGCATTTGCGAAGGACACCGGGCGTTGTCCGATCGAATGACACAGGTCCGTCGTCTGTTACGATTGTGCAAACGTCATCAGTCCAGGCCAATGATCCATTGCCAAGGTCCTCGTACCCTGGCACGTGTCTGTGTGTCTCAGTTTCCATTGACACGTTCAAGTCCCTCATGATGGTCGGATACATGGAGCTGACATCGCATACAGCAACAGGGCCGTGAACACCTGGCACAGGATCCAGGACCCATGCACCTCGGTACTTGCCACCGTCCTGGTCAACGTCCTCAGGTGCCCAGTCAAAGACGTAGCCCGTGGACAGGACATGGGACGAGGCCAGGTTGCTGACCATCGTGCCGCTGATGAACCTAGACGCGTCAGTCATCGGAGCCTTGAGACAGCCGGCAACGGTGCAGATCTCGTTAACGCATCCTGTCAGCCGAGCAATGCCAGCGTGCAACCAGGCATCGTGTGCGTTGTACAGGATCAAAGCATCGATCGGATCATTGGACGATGGCGAGAATGACGGTGACAGGTAACTGAGCTTCCTTGGCAAGCCCACGCGTTCTGCCACTGCTGCAAGTGACGTGCCCTGCCACTCTTGCCTGTGCAGCTTGTCCAAGTAGTGGTAAGTGTCTACCAGGTTCACGCCACGCAGGTTCATGGTCACGCCCTGCCTGCTAGCGTCCAGGTTGACGGCTGTGAATCGGTTACGTAGGTGCACAGGACAATGGGCTGCCAACCTGGGCAAGTCAAAGGACAAGCCATTGTGCACGGCCAAGACGTCTGGTTCCATGCATTCGACAACGCCTATAGCCCATGCAACTGCCGCAGTCGAGTCCATAACACGGCACAAGTACATGCGCTCGTCCTGTAACAGTCCTGGATCTGTAACACGGCCCGTGGTGTAACAGACGTGACACTGACCATCGAGCGCAGACACCGCGATGCTCAGGATATCGTCCAATGCAAGGGGCCAACCTGAGCCAAGATCGTTGCCGGTCCTGACATCGATATCGAGGCCTGCAATCGTCACGTCGACAGGTGGTACGAGCCCTTCCTTGATGCCCAGGCCAGGTCTGCAGAACGCGCCAATGCCAAGGACAGCTGCCATCCTTGCAACGGCCTGTTCGCCCCTTGTACTGGACGTGATCCCAGGTCGACTGACACCAGGCACATACCGGAGCTTGCGTACGAGGCATTTGCCAGCGATCACGTCACCTGCAACTGGAAGCTTGACTACGATCCAGGTACGCAATCGACCCCTGGCCAGTTTCATGAGCATCTGACAAGGCCCACGAGTCACGTCCAAGTACTCAGGCGGTGCCGGGTACTCGCCCACAGGACCACAGGGCGCTGACCAGACAGGGGTCCAGCCCTCGTCAATGCACTGGTCCAGGTGGCTGACGTCGTACCTGGGCAATGGTTCATGGTCCATGGCAATGTGCTAGTTCAACTGGAACAGGAAGGGGCAAATGACAATTGCAGCTTCACCTGACCCTGGTGGCTGTACAACGCGTTGGTCCAGTCACTGTTACATGACCTGTGACCATGGCTGATCGACGAGGTACAAGTGCCAGGACAATTGGACGTAGACAGTTGCCATCAGTCGAATGGAACAGTAACGGAGCCTACTTGGACGATTATCCGCTGACAGGGCCCCTGAACCTGAGAACTGACGAGCGCATGGGACCGCTGATCCAGAAGTACGTCAGCCGGCGTTGGATGGTGCGATCAGGTGCCACGGTGCTGATGCTGGTCAGGCGCATGGCCGTTTGGACTCCGACTAGGAGCCTGGCTGCGATGCGTGAACTGGCTGATGTCATGGGCATGGGCTCGACGACTGTGAACTTTGCAACGGCCACGGCACCGTTCTGGACATCCTGGAACGCTTGGCCTTGAACGTGCCATCAGTGCCCAGGAGCGTGTGCTATGGAACGTGGAGGCTTACACTGCGTCCGTACGAGTCCGATGAGCCAATGCCACGTGAGCCTGCCATGGACGAGGCAACGGACAGGGCCAGGACACGGATCATCGAAGGCACGGCCCGTGTCACGCCTGCACCCGTACAGATCCCTGCGCCTGTGGGCGTGATCGAGGCCCATCCATTGCCAGGGACCGCGCGCGGTGACCATGACAGTGACGAGACGCCGAGCACGCCTGGGATCGAATCAGATGGCGATCCCCAGTCAGATGACCAGGACCAGGACTGTGGTGACAATGACAACGGCAGAGGACACAGTGCCCGTCAACTGCGTCCATGGTCCTTGCCTGCGCTCGTGTTCAGACCCTGTCCCGAGCTTGTACCAGAGCTCGTGGCCCCGTCACGTAGGCTCGGATCACTGGTCAGGAGAC